CGGGGCCGGCCCACTGTGCGCAATTTGCTACACGAAACTGTGCCACAACAACATCTGCGCCAGAGCTTTGGCTACCTTTGGGTGCTTGGGTGCTTGGGTGCTCACTTAGTTCGTTTGTAGGAAATGAAAACATCTGCTGACTGATTGCCCCCTGGTTGCAGTTGCAGTCGAACTAAACAGCAACAACAACAACAATAACAACAACAACAACAACAACAGCAACTGCTATTGCTCTGCCCAATCACTCAGCCAAGTTATGAACAACAGTTAGACGATCTACGGCTGCCTGGCCGGCTGCTGCGAGGGCCAGTGTAGGTCTTCATGGATCAATGGGATACGCGTGATATCCTTCGGCTAGATTCCATTGCAGCGCTTTTCACGTCTTCCGTTGGCTGCTTTGATTTCGTTGCCATAATTGTGCCATTAGCCAGCAGCAGACAGAGGGAGTCCATAGACTCTCCAATCCCCACTCTCCACTCTCCACTTTCGACTTGGGACTCTTGGCCAGTTTTGTGCTGGGCGCCGTTGGCTTGTGTCTACATTTGCATCCGTTTCGCGGGTGCCTTTCGAAAGTCAACCACAGATACTACCCATAGATAGCAGAGTCTGGCAGCGTTTAACGGTTCTCGATGCTCGACGCTCGATGCTCGGTGCTGGCCTAATGTGCGCACTGATGCGCATTTCTGAGCTCCCCCAGCCCTCGATCATAGCAGCTGGGGCGTGTAACTGGGCCATTTGTGTAACTGGCACATAATCAACAGTTGGTTAGTCAGGCCCCATGTCTGGGCCATCCGGCTAGGGCTGCAGCCAGTCGGTGTATTCATATTTTTAAGCACGCTCGTTATCATAATGTGCTCCATTCGGAGGCTGTTCCACATTTTTGGATGTACCGGCAGCCAGCAGCCAGCAGCCAGCAGCCAGCTACCCTGTAATCAGCGAGAGGTGTAAGTGACCTAAATATGGACTGTTATTGGTCTGCAAAATGGAAAAGCGATTCCAGCAATTGCCTTGGTTTTTCTTCTTTGATTAAAAATGCATTACGTTTCCTGCCTGCATGCCGTGAAATTGAGCTAAGCTTGTGCTGTTCTGAGTATCATCAGTTCAAATCACATCAAATTCGATTGTGTCCAAGTGGATATATTGGCTGTGGTTGCATTCTGTTTCCCTCTCTTCCTCTCTTTCTCTTTATCTGGGAGAACAGACAAATCACGACAAATCATCTCTGCTCTGAATATATTATTATTAAGTTCATTTGTGGTGAGCAAGGGGAGAGAGAGAGAGAAAGAGAGAGAGAGAGAGAGAGAGATATTAGCGTAATCTCCACTCATTTAAATTAATCATTCACTCACATACAAATGCCAACTTCCGGTTTCTTCTCTCCTTGGGAGCTGAGAGTGGCCAACTGCCTCTGGCTTCAAAGTGTTTTACTCTGTATATTCTGTTATTTTGTGACACAATGGAAAGCATGATGAATGTATGCGTGAGAGAGAGAAAGAAAGTATTGTTTGTGCACTCTCAATATTACAAATTCATCATTCAAATGCCGAACTCTTTGATTCGCTCAAATGTCCCAACGAATTCAATAAAAATTAGTACTTGAAATTTAATATAAATTAAACTTACTATGCAACAAAAAACAAATATATTTATGGCACTGAAACAAACTCATTTTTATAGACATATGGGAGCCAGCAAATGTAGTTCTTAATTTATGAGCTAATTCTAATTTTACATTAAATCTAAAATCTTATAAATAAAAAATAAATAAATATAGAAACTATAGTCTACTCTCAAATATATTTATATTTTTGTCGTCTTTTAAATTATATTTCATTTTTGCCTTATTCAAGAAAGCTCGAAATATACTCCACAGCTACTCATGCAACGTATATCTCTCTGACTTCTTGACTTAATTTCCTTAAATGTATTTCCCATTACAACAGACAGAGCTCTTCCACTTAATTATGACATTCACAAAAGCAGTCTAGTCTAGTCTATACTCACGCATGAACAGTTTCGGCTTAGTTTTGCAAAAGAGTTCAAGCCAAATGCCATTGACCAAGTCAAAAGCAATCGAATAATTGGCCAACACATAAGAGTACAAATATACAAACGTATACAAACTATTTTTCAGCCTCAAATTATGCCTTCTTCAATTAACGCCCAAAGGCCAAACAGCGACTAATATACGCTCATATCGCTAGATTCTAAGCAAGCGGGTGGGCTGCGGGGGACTGTGCGGGGAATTGGCTCATTGGAATGAAGGCAATTACCAATTATCTACTGTTTTCTACACAAATTTAACATAATTTGGCCAGTTTTGCGTTCAAATTGTGCCACAATTGTGGAAGTTGGCTGTGGTCAGGGCCAACCACGCGCCACTACAGCAGCCAAGTGAGGGGCGGCCGGTAGAGCCGGGCGGTGCCGGCCAATTGTGGCCACAGTCGAAGATTATTATTTTGGCTACCAACTGCCAAATGTATTTCGCATAATCGAAAGTGACCGAACCGCAGATATTCGTCTGATCCCATTGTGTGCGGCCCCAGCAGCGGCGGTAACGGTCTCTGGTCTCCACGCTGGTGGGGCTTTGGGGTGGTTCAGTTGCTGTGCTGGTGCGCTGGTGCGCCGCTCATGCGCACAGGTTGAAACTATAGCAAAAAAAAAAAAAAAAGAAGCAAAATCACAAAAATCAAACAAAAAACCAAAAAAATGATTGATGCCAATACAGCGCCAAGCGAATACAACTTAAAATTCAGTTAAAAAACAAAGCAGCTACCAATATAGCAAAAAACAACAAGAGCAACAACATTCAATAGATAAAGAAACAAAAGACAAAATACAAAGAAATACGTGCTGTCTTGTTGACGTTTGCCGGACTAAGAGCTACCCTGGGATCAGACATAAATTACGGTAAATGAACATTTATAGCTAGAAATTGCCTAAAATAGCTTTTATATCAAGTTTCTCCATATGCCAAGACTCTTCAACACTTAATGGAAATTGCTTGATATGCTTGAATGGAATATTCTAAATTTGGACTTGGTATAGAAAACTATTTACCAATCGGCGCTATATAAGATTTGTTGTCAAAACTTTGTTTCGAACTCACAAAACAATATTTTTGATCTACATCTAGAAAGTAAATTAAAGTCAGTTATCGATATAAATCGATTACTGCAGTTATTGATATTAATCAATTGCTAAAGTTACTCATCGCTAAGTAGCTTGTAGCAAATTACTCAACCAAGATGGTGGCAATAAATATGCAAGTTATCGATAAGTACATAAACCAAGAACATTATATTTTCGAAAACAACTTCAGATACTTATATAAATTGATTCAGAAATACAAATCATAGATATAAGGTACCGCAAGTAAAAGCCCTAATACTCATTAATAATATATTTCGATAATTTATCGCTAAACATTTATTCTCAGAAATGAAAAATCCTTTTCTTTCAGCATCAACTCAACTTCAATCCAACCATTCTCAACCATTTCGAATAGGTATAGGGTATTCAAAAATAAAACAGAAAAACAAAAACAAATGAAAAGTATTGGTAGCTCATAGTTTTAACCGCATTTCGCCGAAGGCGTAACACACTCTAAACCGGAAGGGTAATTAACTCGCTTTGCCGATCACGCCTTTGCATTCAGAGCAGATGGATGGATCGCTGGATGGATAGATAGCCAGATAGATATGAAGATAGATAGATGGCTGAATGAATGAATGCTTGGGTTTGGTTTTTAGCTCCAGCTCCAGCTCTGACTCTGACTCTGACTGGCTTTGGTTTCGTTGTTGCCTTGCTAGAGCTCTGTATATTAAAAAGCTATAAGTCTCAGAGTTATTTCTTTTTTCTTGAACTTCTCTCTTTTTCTGGTTTTGTTTTTGGCGCTGCGCGAATGATTAATAATAAGGCAACTTCATAGGCAAATGCGTTCAAATGATGTTTGGGGCGCTGCCAGGATTGATGGGTGTATAAAGTCTTCTTTTATGCGCTCATTTACAGTAGATGTGCTTTTTAATGGCTTTATTATGATTGCCAAGTGCCTGGCCCATGTGGTTTTCAATATCTATCTCTTTCTCTCTCTCTCTGTCTCTGCCTGGGTAGATATAAAGCTGAATTATGAAACTGCTTCAATTAAGTTATTTGTTACAAATAAACCAAAAATTGAGAAATCTTTTGAATAAAGTTTAACCAGCTGAAAGTAGAAAATAATTTGATGTAATCTATTCCCAGATTTATAACTATTTGAGATGAGATTCTGCATTCTTCAAATTAGAAACTGAACATGGATTTCATAACTTATCTCTAAATAATCTCTTATTCTACAAAAATCAAACAAATATCTTTTGATTTTTTGATGTGATTGTTTTATTTATTGATTTTTCAATATATCCATAACGATCTTTCAAATTCTTTCATATACATATATACTATATATACAACATAGGCACTAGAGTTGACCTATAACTATATAGCTTTAGCAACGAAATTTTACGAACTATACATATACC